CCCTCAAGACCCCCGGACTCCCGCTGCCCCCCCAGCCGTGCTGGCAGCTCGGGGGGGCTGTGGCTGGCCACATGCAGCCCTGCGGGGGTGTCGCAGAGGCGCTGACCTGGGGGTCCCCTCCGGGTGCGTGGGTACCAAGCAGCAAAGGGTGCTTTCCAGCCAGGTTGGGTGTGCGGCTGCTGGGAAGGGTCTGGAGGGTGGTACGGGGTCCCCTTCCAGCGCTGCTCCCCAGCAGCAAGGTGGATGGGGATCTGCTTTTGCCTGGGTCTTCTCTGGGGAAGCGAGTCCCATCGTTTGTGAAGCCACTGTGCTTGCTGCAGGGGTGAACCGGGTTTGGGCTTCAGCCAGATGTTCAGCCTCATCTTCCCTCTTCCTCCTCCTCCTCCTTGGACATCTTGTCCAGCGCACAGCTCAGAGGGGTTCCCTGTGCTTGCTCTAGGAATGGCTACAAGTTCCTCTACTGCTCAGCCAGAGCCATCGGCATGGCGCACATCACCAAAGGGTACCTCAAATGGGTCAACGAGCAAGGCTGTGCCCTCCCCAAAGGCCCCATCCTGCTTGCCCCCAGCAGCCTCTTCTCTGCCTTCCACAGGTACTGTGTCCTCTCCTCCTCCCCAGGCCTGCACCCCCTGTGTCCCTGGGGATGGCACCCCCCTTCTCCAGCTTGACGCTGAGGAATGTCACAGCCTTAAAGTGGTTCTGGCTGGTCATGGGAGGCAGCAGGGGAACTGCCTGCCCTCTCTGGAGATTGTGGTGAAGCTCCTGCAATGCGCAAAACCACTTTTGCCCTTCAAATTGCTTCTGAAGGTAGTCCTTGCCGGCTGATGCCACTGAGTTCTGCTCTGTGCATGTGTCTTGTGCTGCAGGGAGGTGATTGAGAAGAAACCAGAGGTGTTCAAGATCGCCTGCTTGATGGACATCCAAAACCTGTTTGCTACGAAGCTGCCCTTCTATGCAGCTTTCGGGAACAAAGCCAATGTAAGCGGGTCTCCTGGGGAGGAGGGGAGGGCTCAGGCTGGGGCGGTGGTGGTGCCTTCCTGCAGCTCTCACACCTTGCTGGCCTTCCTCGGGCAGGACGTCTATGCTTACAAGCAAGTGGGCCTGCCGGAGAGCCGCATATTCACGGTCAACCCCAAGGGAGAGCTGATCCAGGAGCTCACAAAGAACCACAAGTCAACGTAAGTGACCTGCATGTTCCTCAGCACCTTTGGGTTAACCTGGCTTTAACCCAGGGAAGCATTTCATGGGGTAGAAAAGCAAACAAAAGCCCAGTGACCTCAGTGCAACTTCTGTCTTACCCCCATAGGTACGAGCGGCTGTCGGAGCTGGTGGAGCTGATCTTCCCTCCCCTGGGGCAGAGTGGGAGCGTTGCTCTGGTGTGTCCAGAGTACAGCCACTTTGCCTACTGGAGACCTCCACTGCCTGCTCTTGATTTGGATGCCTTTTCCTGACCCTGTTACCTGTGGAGACCTGACCCAGGGCTCTCCTGTGCATCCTCTGCTCCAGATGCATCTCCTCCTCCTCCCTTTTGGCTGCTCAGGCATTTTGCACTTCTAATACGGGTCACGTTCTGCACCAGAAACACCCCTTCTCAGGGGGCCGAAGGGGGGTAAGAGGGAGCCCTGACTCCACAAAACCTCCATTTACTACACTGGAATTCATGTCAGCTCAGTGACTTCTTAATGTTCTTAACACCTTTAAAACCTGGCTCTTTTTTGAAGGTGGTGGTGGATCACTGTCTTATTTATTGATGAGTCTCTAGCATAGCTATTGCTACCTCCAGTATGACCAGTGTTCCTAAACAGTCCAGCTGCCTATAGTTTGGTAGCTGATGGAGTGAAGCTGTCCTGTGGCTTAACGACTCATTACGGTGGATGGAAGCTGTTTGGGTTTTGAGTATTCTTCACTAATAGCAATAATTAATAAATAGTGTGTTAATCCAGGCTGCTTCTTGCCTGTTGTAGCCCTCTGCCTGGAAGTGGGAGTCAGGCTCTGTGTCCTCTTATAAATGTGTCTCAGTTTATCCTGCAGAAGTCCGCTGCCAAGGGGTTCTTGGTGGAGATGGGGCAGGACTTGCAGCTTTTTAAAATTATTTTTTTCCACCTGCTGCTTCCAGGTAATGCTGCAAAACTGACTGGGAGCAAACCCTGTGTGTGTGTGCATGGGGTGGGTGACTGGCCTGTGCTGGCAGCTCGACACAGTCTTGTGCCAGGGCAGGAGCTTATTCCTGTACCCCGTACCGAAGCATTCAAGGAAAGCTAAGCTGTCCTGACATGGGGTTGGATAAGGACTTGACTTAGCCTGTCCCCGGGTTTGGCTTCTGAAAAACTGCATAGCAATAGGGCAGCTGTGGGTGCAGCCGGGCTGCCGCCCCTGCCCTGGGAGGTCTTTGCCTGTTTTATTTTGTGTAATTACAGCTAAGAGCACTGCTGGGCTTCTTCCTGCAGTCAGGCATCCAGCTTCTCCTGCTCTGACCACTGTGTGCAAGTGTAAATCACTTCCTTCTAATTCTGCCTGCCCCCTCTTCTTCTCCAAATAGCCTCCATGCTCTAACTCCAGCTCCCTTTCTCCCGATCTTGGTGTTGGGCTACTTTTCTTAAAGCCACACAAGTCATTTTCATTCTGGAAACCTCAGCAAGAAATACTTTATTTTTTTTTTTCCTTTCCAGTACAAACAATCTTTCAGCTTTTAAAATCTGGACAAATATACAAGGTTTTAAAAACAATAAAACACAGCCTCATAACAGAATCGGTTGTCAACTGCCTTGGAAAGCTGCCTGTGCAAGGACAACCGTGTGGGCACCATCTCCTTCCATCTCTGCAAGCCAAAAGAAAAAAAAAAAAAAAAAGCCCTATTTTATACAAAGTTCCTTTCACTCTTTAAACACAAATAGCTGAGAACTGAAATACAAACTGTCCATAGCTTCAAGTGACTAGTCAGGAATAGTCCAAACATAGCACCATTTTCTGGAAGGTCAGACTTCTTCCTTGTCCTAATTTTGTTACGGTCAATCCCGGCTCCCTCTGTGCTGGAGGAAGCTGTTGCTGTTCAGCTGCTCCCAAACCCAGCCCTGGCCGGGGCAGGGCTGAGCCTGGCCCTTGCCTTAATTTTCTCTTTGGTTGCTGCAGCCCTTTTTCTCCCTGTTGTGAGAGGATGGGGAGGGGACGTGGGTGGGATGCTCCTGTGGGGTGAGGGTTCCCCAACCCATCGCAACGGCGGGTTGGCTTGAGAATCCTTCAGGGGTGTGAAACCAGGTTTTCTTGTCCAAGAGCAGGTTTTGCAGGATGCCCAAAGGCAGCTGGAGGTTGCTCCTCAGCTGGAGAAGTGTCTCAGCAGCTGCAGCGTAGCTCCAAATCAGCAAAGCCCAGAGCAGCAGGAGTGGATTTTGGTGCTGTGAGCATCCAGCAGCCTGTGAGCCGGTGGGTGTAAGTGGGTGGTGGGAAGCCTGATCCCCTCTCCCTGCTCATACAGGTGATGGCCCACGCTCCTCTGGCAGGGGAAAGAGCTTTTACTGCATCAGGGTAACGTGATGCAGCCAACTGGCCTCAGTGATCCCTGGGGTCCTCTCCAGCATGGAAGCTGCTGTTGCAGGGAGCTCAGCCAGTTTTTATGGAGGAGAAAAGGCGCCCAGATGCATCTCTGCTGGGAGTTGCTGCTGCTATGTGCTGCTCCTTTGCAGTGTGGGGGGGACCTCGGGGGGGAATTGTGGCACAGAAGAGTGGGGATGACCTGGTGGGGGTGATGGGTGTGGGGCAGAAGCATCCACGAGCTGCAACATTGAACTGATAGAAAAATACGTTCCTCTGCTATAAAGTGCCAGAGCTGGTCAGATGGAGGTTCCTTAATTTCCTCTTCATCCTTTCTGGTAATGAAGTCCCTGTTGGGTGAGCAGCGGAGGCCACTTGTGCTGGGCTCCCCGGGAGAGGCGGGTTTTGTCTGCAACAGCCGCGCGGTCCAGGCGTCTGCTCCGCAGGGGAAGGCTGGAGTTGCTCAGGAACACATACAACCTTTTCCAGACTGTGTTTTCATGGGAAACCAGAGCGACCTTGGGTAAATCACTTCAGCCTTTCATTCTCAAGAGGTGTTCTCAAAGGTGCCCTGCCATCCTCCTCCCCGGCGCTCCACACCAGTTTTGGGTCCTCGGGGCTGTTGGCATCCCAGCAGGCTCTGAGGAACGCAAGGAGAACACAGGCTCCTGCTCTCGTGCTGCCGGACAGGGAAAGCCGGCACAGAGCAGGCGAATCCTCATGCTCACACCCTGGAGCAGCTGCAGCTCTCCTGTCCCAGGATGAGGTGAGGGAAACCGCGTTCACAGTTTAAGTAAAAAACCAGGGGAGAACCAGACCTGGAGGACAGGACTGCTCCATGCCCAGCTTGCTCTCTGCAGAGACACATGTCTCCTTGGAGAAGACGAGTTTTCCATGACCCTTCACATCAGTCCCAGGTGTTACCAGAGCACACCGCAAAGTGGGACTGCGAAGCACGGCAGCTCCGAGGGACCGCGGGGCGCTCCCCGAGACGCTGCTGCGGTGACAGGGTTTAGCTGCTCCGTGTGGTTCTCCCAAAGACAGCAAGGGATGTGGGGGTAGCAAGAGGAAACTTTGCAATGGGATGAGCACCATGACAGTGGGTTGTTCAAAAATATACATACACATACCATATATGTATATGTATGTTTTCCTAATGCATATCCTCATATGCTCCGTAAGGCACATGTGTTTGCATGGAGGAGTGAGCGGTATGAATGGATTTACCATACAGGAGGAGGGCTGCCGTCTTGGAGAGGGGAAGGCAGTTCCCAGGGGGATGTGTGAATACGTGTGTTCTTTTAAATCTGCAATTCCTGTGGTGAGTTTTGTTCCCTGTAAGGAGCCCTGGCTCAGCTCAGTCCCTGGATTAAGACGCAGGTGGTCTTTAGGTCAGAGAAATTCTATTCCTCAACTGACAACTACAGGGTTTTATTCTTCAAGAAGCGATAAATCCTCAAAAATAAAATAAAAAAAAAATAAAAATGTTCCCGCCTCCAGCTTCCTCCTGAATTGTCCTTCTGGGGTCATCAGCCCAGGAGCCAAAGCAACGCCCCCGCTCAGGAGGCAGTGACACTGCTGCACCAGGGTCGGGACAGCTGCTGAGCATCGGGAGGCAAGTACCATAACAGCAGAGTTATGGAAAAGTGGGGCCAACAAGGTGGTTTGGTGTTTTGTTTTGTTTTGTTTTGTTTTTTAAAAAAAAAGTTTGTAGCAGCTTTTAATTTATCTTTTCATTAAAAAAATTATCCCAAGAACTGTTGTCACATTGGACCGAGTCTGTGTGATATAAGTTAATCCTGTCCTTCACAGGGAGGAGAAGGAAGAAGCTAATGCTGCTTCCCCTCCGCCTGCTCTTCCAAGTGGCTGATCTGCTCTGCCAGCTCGGACACCTTGGCTTGGCAGTCCAGCAGGTTGTCCTTCAGTCCCGTTATTTCCTGAGAATGGGCAGCCAGGGTCCCGTTCATGTGGTCCATGTAGTCCCACAGACTGCCCGTGTGTTTCTCCAGTTCGTCCCTGATGCCATCCAGGCTTCCCGTGACGGCACCCAGCCTGCCGCAGACGCTCTCCACTCGAGCCACCCGGTCATCGAAGTGAGCGATCTCCCGCTGCAGGGCGTGGGCCGTGCTCTTGCAGGAGCTCAGGTCGCTGACGATCTTGGCTTTGAGTCGCTCCAAATCTCCCTTGAGGTTCAGGACACGCCGGTTGCTGAAGAAGAGCTGGGAGCCTTGGTCGTTGACTTTCTCCTGAATGGAGTGGACCTCATCCTCGATCTTCCGCTCATGCTCGTCCAGCGAGGAGTTGACGTGTGTCACGGTGTCTGAGTACTGGGAGACAGAGTCCTTGAGCCCCGTCAGAGACTTGCTCACGGTGTTGAGGTTGATCTTTAGCAAGGTGATCTCCCCTTGCAAAGCCCCCGATGCTTCCTCCTCGATTCGCCGCTGGATCTCCAGGATGGTGGCGTTCAGCTTGCGCAGGAGGTCGTAGTTGCTGTCCATCCGGAGGAGCAGGTCCTGGTTCTTATTCTGGCAATCTTCGATCTCTGTCCGGAAGGTCTCTACGTCTTTGGAGGCAGAGGTGCAGCCCAGGGAACAAGTGCTCTCCAGTGTGATGAGGCGGTTCTGTAACACCTCCAGTGTCTCATCTGTGCGTTTCCTCATGCTGGCAAGCTCCCCCTCCAGCACGGGCACCACTGCTCCATCCATGCCCACGGGGGAACTGACATTGTTCAGCTCCCCCACAATGGTCATGAACCTGTCCTCTAGGGTCTGCATTTTGTCTTCAAAGGCAGTCCTCATGCCATCCACCTCTGACACCACCATGCCTCTCATGCTGTTCTCCATACTGGAGCAGCAGTTCCCTGTTTCTCTCTCTGTAGCATTGACTCTGGCTTCCAGGTCCTCAAAGCGCCCTTCAAAAAGGT